AACAACCTTCTTACCGCCTCCTTGTAGAACTGAACTTTTCAAATCTTCCTCCATATTCTCTAAATGTCTATCCATCTTTTGCCAACAATTTCTCCATTTGTACTATCTGTTACATTGATCTATTGTTTAATTTTTTTATGATTTTTTTGGCCATTGCAAATATATATATATATATATATATATACAATACAATACAATAAACTTTATTTCTAGCAATAAACCAAATACAAATTAACAGTGCTTATGTCTTCAGAATAAATTGCAAGAATTGAAGGAAACTGAAGTAAAAACTTATGAGGTGTTTCCCCCAGAACATTTAAATAATATTATTTGCATTTTCCTTAAGACACAAGGCTAAGAACGAAAAGAAAAAATATAACTACAAATACCATGAAGGAACGGATTTTAGTTAGTTAATGGAATTAGGAGAAAAACTTTTCTTTGTATTTTCTTTTGAATTAAGAAGGGCATTTACATGTTTTAAGATTATTGTGGAGCGAGTTCCAAAGTTTAACTCCAACTGTTAACTGAGATACATTGCAATTGTTTTGTAGTTCTTACTGTGTTTAGCTTAAATACATTTCTTTGTCTAGTACTAAAAAATTGTCTGCGGATACAAATGTGAAGAATTTCAGCAAAGTAAATGGCAATGAAGTATTATGTGCTTTAAACATAAAAATAGCAGTTTTCATCTCAATTATTTGTTCAAGTCTCAATAATTTCAATTTATTAAATAGGGGATCCGTATGATCTAAAAAACAAGCTTTACTTATAATTCTGATTATTATTTTTTGTTTTAAAGCTAAAGGAACTAAATTTGTTTTATAAGTATTCCCCCCATACTTCGGTACAATAATTTAAATAAGGGAGAAAGAAGGAACAATATAAGGTATGAAGTGCCCGATTATTCGAAATATGACTGGCTTTATAGATTATTGCTGTACATTTAGATAGTTTTTTGGATACATTTAAAATATGCTTTTTCCAGTTCAATTTGTGATCAATTAAAACTTCAAGAAACTTAGTTTACATACACTCTTTCAATGTTTCTATTGTTTATACTAATGGCGTCATCAAATTTTTTACGGCTATTTGTAAATAATATAAAATGTGTTTTCGAAACGTTCAATGATAGCTTATTGACAGCAAACCAAACGTTAAGTTTATCCAACTCATTGCTTATTTGTCTACATAATACTTTCATATTTTCATTTGAACACGATACATTCGTATCATCAGAAAATAATATAAACTTCAATATATTTGATACTCTGCATATATCATTGATATATAAAATAAATAATTTTGGTCCTAAAATTGAACCTTGCGGAACACCAGTTACAACTTTATATACATCTGATCTAACTTCATTAAAACAAACATATTGTTTCCTGTTACATAAGTAACTGGTGATCCAGTCCAAAGCAATACCTCTAATACCATAAATTTCTAATTTCTTAACTAACAACACACGATCAATTGTATCAAAGGCTTTTTTAAGATCGATAAATACTCCAATCGCTGATTTTTTATCAAGAGATGTAGTAATTTCTTCGATCAAGTCTACTGATGCCATTGATGTAGATAGCCCCGTTCTAAAGCCATACTGACTTTCAGTTAAAATATTACGTTTTATTATAAACCCTCTAACCTTACATCAAATAATTTTTCTAGAACCTTGCAGAATTGTGGCAACAACGAAATCGGTCACTACTTATTAAAAACATCTTTTTCACCAGACTTAAAATTTGGTATAACCTTCGCAAGTTTCATGTTATCTGGGAACACCAACTAAGAGAGATTTACTGCAAATATAAATAAAGGGTTAAATTATATAAGTAATAACCTGTTTAAGTAGTACCATACTGATGTCGTTATACAGTCGAAAGATGATTTACATCCAAAACCTTTTACAATATCCAATATTTCTATTTCAGTAGTATCAAATAAAAACATTGAATAAATATTCCTTTTCCCTAAGTAATCAAATATTAACTATTATGATTAGGTACCTGTATTTATCAGCTAAATTCGGTAATACATTAACAAAAAAATCGTTAAAGCCATTTGCTATCGTTTTGTTATCCTTTACTTTCTTTCCTTTATTAGTAAACATATCTGGATAATTAATTTTTTGGCCTCTTTTATTAATAATATTATTCAATATTTTCCACGTACCTCTTATATTATTTTTATAATTTTGTAAAAGATTAGTATAGTACTCTCGTTCACAGAATCGCAGAATAGATGTTAACTTATTTTTATATTGTTCGTAACGCTGTTTGGATTCTTGAGTTCTTCTTTTAAGAAATTGTTTATAATATTTTTTCTTTTTACATGCATTCTTCAACTCTTTTGTTATCCATTGTTTGTCTGTAGATTTATTATTGATATTAATCTCTTTTACCGGACAACAATTATTGTAGAATCTTGTAAAGGTATTTATAAAATGATCTTAAGATTTATTCACATCATTGAAAATATAAACTACTTCCCAGGTTTCTTGGTTTAACTTATGAAAGAAGACTGACATTGATTTTTCATCACATTACCCAGCATATAAAATCTTTTTTTCTTCATTTCTACTTATTTTTTTGGTGGTGGTTTACACAAATTACTGGTAAAGGGTCACTTAAATTGTTTATAAGTAGCCCACTTTTATGTTTAACATCTATAACATTAGTAAAAATTATGTCTATTAATGTGGCAGATGATTCAGTTATTCGACTTGGTTTATCTATGAGTGGGAAAAGTCCCAAGGTGAATAAAAATTCTATAAAATATCTAGTACCCTTGTGATTTTCAAAGTTTAATAAGTTTATATTAAAGTCTCTACATATATAAATATCTGATTTTTTATTTCTAAATAAATGTTCAATTGCATCCATGAATAAATTTATATCATACCCAGGTTGTCTGTATATACAACCAATGAGAACTCTTTTAGTTTTCTGTATAAACAATTCAGTAGAAATACATTCAAATAAATTATCTATTGATGTCGTTATTTTATCGACAACATTATATTTAATCTCACTGCTAACAAAGATAGCTACTCCACCACCTCGTTTATTAGAACGGGCCATATGACACATTTCATAACTCACTAGATAATACATATCAATGTCCGTATTTGTATCAAGCCATGTTTGTCACAATATCAAACTTAAAATGAAGATCATTTAGATAATCTTTTAATTTATCAGCTATGAGACTTCTACAATTAAAATGAACAACGGAAAGACCTCTTTCACCCGCTGGCTTATCATTTAACTGTTCATCTGTATAATAATTACAATCTAAATTAACATTATTGTAGAAATTATTATCAGGATCTCCATCATTTTCAAAATCAAGTGAGCCATATAATCAGTATAATTAAAAACCTTAAAACTAAATTCAGTACTTTCTCTATACAAGTTACATAAGTTAATATCAATATTAATACTAGTGTTAACAAATAATATGTCATCATCATCCAGGTTACTAAATGGAAAAATGTTAGCACAATTTTTACAAAACCATTCAGCATTTACACTACAGAATATTAATTTGAATTCATTTTTTGAAATGTTAGCACACTTGCAGTGTATCAATAATTTACAAATAGAACATTCTTTGACAAATTTACTATTTAATATTATTTTCTCATTTCAAATACCACATTGTTGATCTTTTACACTCATTTGACTTTTATATCATTAGGTAACACTTATGTACATATATACTGCCTGTATTTATGTATGCATACACACATACAGTACGTACAATAAAGTACTCAACAGAATAACGACATGAAATAAGAATATATACTTTTCTATGGGTGACATCTTGTTTATTATGTAACATAATATTTCTTATATTTTTAATTTGAGACAATCCAAATTAATACCAAGTTTCTCAAATTCATACATATTTCTGAATATGTGATTAAATTTCTTCATCATCTTCTCTTATTCCCTGAGTTTTAACATACGCTTTACAGTACCTGACCCACTGCCCTTTTATGATTTCCATTCGAGATAACTTTCATGCTGTAGCAGCAATTTCAGCATTTTTTTTCGTCAAGTGTTCGTTAATGTATATATTTGTACCCTTTAATAATTTAGCTTCCTTTAGAATTCTGCTTTTCACTTTTCTTGATGTAAACCTTATGATAATGTTTGGTCTGGTAGTCGACTTTCTTGATCTTAGTGTATGTATTACAAATATTTCATGTTCGTGAATAGCAATCCCTTTAAAGTTGTTGGATTACCTTCTCTTCTAGTGTCTTCTTTTCCTCTTCTGATTACTCGTTGGTTGTTTCTTTAGTGCTGCCAGGGGAAGATGGACTGGACTTAGTTACACTTGCATATAACCGGTATTGGACATCAAGTCCACTAACAATAACATCATCCATCCTTGTGTACTGCTCTAGATCGTCTACTCTATTCGCCAATTCTTTAATTCGTTTATCTTTGATTTCATTTTGAGCTCTTAAGTCCATCGTTAAGGCCAGTAGCTGTTTAACATCCATTGTCAGTGTCTGAAGCTGATTTTTAAATAGAGGACAGTCCTCGTGTACAACGGTGTCTTTGCGGTTTCAGCCGGTTGCCGTTGATACTATTAGTAATCAATTATTTTGGCCCACTTCCGAAAACTAGACTCAGAAATACCACAATGTTGTCCGACAGGGTACTGTGTTACTTCAATAAAATAAATTGTAAATAATTCCCTTTCATAAACAACATTTTTCTGGAATCTGGCCCAAAATTCTAGACTCATCTCAGGTTTTACTTACTTTGTTTTTTTGGTGATTGCATAAGTGTTTGTGTTCTTTGTTTTGAGTATTATGATTTATTATTATCATTATCGATATTATTATTGCCATGTGAAACAGAGGCCTTTCAATAAGTGCTATAAAAGAATCAGTCTATATTATTATTATTATTATTATTATTATTATTATTGTTATTATTATTCATTATTATATTATTATTTTTAACTGTGTAAGATCAGCAATGGTGTATGGTGCCGAAACATGGAACATAAAGACAACTGAAGAGGGAATTTTGAGAAGAACAGAAAGAGCAATGATAATAAAAATGTGTGGTGTTAAGCTGGCAGAAAGAAGGAACACAAAGGAGCTTATGGAACGTCTAGGTCTAAGTGAAACAATTGAAGAGGTTGTTATGAGGAGTTGCTTGAGATGGATGGGTCATGTACTAAGAAAAGACGAAGGTGATCCAGTAAAGAGAGCCTGGCATCTAGAAATTAAAGGTAGAAGAGTAAGGGGGCGGCCAAAGGTGACGTGGAAAGATATGGTGAAGAAAGAAAGTGCAAAAATTGGTTTGGAGGAGTGACAGTCAGTAACCCCTTGGAAGAGGGATGAAAACTGACTTAAATAATTGATGATATTATTATTTTTAACACTATTATTCATTAATAAAATGATAATAGTAATGATTCTATTATCTTTATTATTATTGTTATTATAATTATTATTATTATTATTATTATTATTATTATTATTATTATTATTATTATTATATTCTTAGATTTTTGAAGTTTTCATGGGTGACTCTTATGCTAGCGGCTGTTGCAGCCTTAATAAGGGTCTCCCAGATCCATTTATCTCCTTTTAATATTTTCAGTACTGTGATACTGTTATATTTTCTGTATTTGCTTTTATTATTTTTAATCAAATATGAGCCCATTGGAACCTTGTTAGTACGGTAACTCTCTATAATACAGGTGCCATATTTTCAAAGTGTGCTCACCTCAGCCTCAACCAAAGGTGGGGCTGAGGTTGGTATGAGCTATAACCCGTACTATAGCCATATATCCACAATGTCAGCGCCAGAGCCCCCTAAACATGATAGGGCTTGGGTGGATATGCTGTCAGACCTCCACTAATTTTTAAAATCTTGTATCCGTGGATAGGGTTAGCAGGTCACTTTAACACAGGGGCGGCCATTGGGAACCTCTGACATCTAGATGTGTATAAGAGACAGCTGTGGGACCTCCTGTCGGGGAATTTCCAGCAAGGTAGTCGGTGAAAAATCAAATCTCGAGTGCCGAAAGTACAATTCAAGCATTCCTTATTAAGCTGTCAATTTGTAGGGATTGAAAACGTGTTTAGTGCAAGCAGTGCTACCGCATGTGCGAGGTGTTTTATACTATTGCGATCGTATGGGTTGCAGTGGTACGCCAGCTCTTAAACGACAGGACAGCTGGGTGGTACATCTGACAGGTGGTTAGTACCCCCGACATCCCTTTAAATAAAGAAACCCATTATTAACACAAAATTTGATTATCTTTTAATAAGAAAATTAATTGTTTCTCCCACGGGGATGTTGGACTGGGCTTCCCAGACGGTGGGGGTGGGTGGCAGATCATTTCAGACTGATAACATGCAGAAACATGCTTTATCAGCTCGTAAAAACGCACAACTTCTGTTTATTGGCAACAGATCGTATTTGAGAACGTTAAACAGCATGACTGTTCATCGTTCATCGTAATAAAAAGTTATAATTTCAAAACAAAATCGTATAAATTCAAAACAGGCATTTGCAATGAATTTTAGTGATCCATTAGGCGAAAAAAAAAATTGTGTTGCCCTCAAATGGAAAAAATCGAGATCGTGGGTCGGTCGTTTTTTTTTTTTAAATTTTTTTTTAAATTTTATTTTATTTTAGTCAATACGTTTTAGTTTTACATCGCTGAAAATGGTGCAGATGATTGTTCTGTTGACGTCAATATTTTCAATAATTTTCAATAATTAGCATGACTGTTATATGTTCATCGTAATAAAAAGTTATAATTTCAAAACAAAATCGTATAAATTCAAAACAGGCATTTGCAATGGATTTTAGTGATCAATTAGGCCAAAATTAAAAAAAAATTGTGTTGCCCATAAATGGAAAAAATCAAGATCGTGGGTCGGTCGGTCGGTTTTTTTTTTGTTTTTTTGTTTTTTTAAAAATTTTATTTTGGTCAATACGTTTTAGTTTTACATCCCTGATAATAGTGCAGATGAATGTTCTGTTGCCGTCAATATTTTTTAAAAGTTTCAATAACCACGACTAGTTTCTTAACATGTACTCAACCGCAATCTACGCCATTTCTGTCCGCTTCACTGTCAGAGGGCAAGAGGATTGTTTTCCAAATCTTTTCCAACAAGTCATGAAACAGTTTAGTATTCTTTGAAATAATTAAACGATTTCCTTCATTTAGATATACATTTACGTAATTAAGCTTTCTACCACAGTACGAATCACTAGAAATACTTTCATACATGAAAGTTTGTTCAACTATTTCGTAAACGATTTTAAATGTCTTCATGAAGACGTTTTAGATTTACTTCACTATAAACAGCCGAAATGTTCTCAGAGGTCTAACCTGGCTCTGTGACTATTCTACTATTTTATAACTATACTGTTTGTTTATTCTGAAATCATAGCGTACGAGTACTAATAAACGTATTATTATCTGATAGTTGGGGCGTGAATTTTGTGTATTGAATAAGTTGTTTGGAAGCGAAATATGACGGCTTGAAAGTTGGTGAATTTCTCGTAGACTGGCCTTCATAAAATTACAAAATTTTAGGGTTTAGAGTTGAAATAATGAACCCAAAATTAATAGTAAGATTAAAGGTAATACTTTATATTTACGACATAATCACACTTTGCTCAAATTACATGTTATACAGTCTATTTGGCCCTTTTTCTCGAAACCTGGTGATGCGAGTTTACAGCCCTTTTGTGGTCTTGGGTCACAAATATTTATCCTTATAGTTTTTGGCATTTTTTTATTCATTATATAAAATTTAAAAATAAAACAAAAATAATAAATCATTGCAAGATAGATAAAATTATTAAACTTTAGACATAAACCAATAATAATAGACATAATAATAATAATAATAATAATAATAATAATAATAATAATAATAATAATAATAATAGAAATTCTAACTGGGTCATTATAAATAACATACACGGTACCAGTATTCAAAGTTAATCATTTTCAATGTTGTAATATTAAAATCTTATAAAAAAAAATGTTTTACTAAACTTGATAAATGTACCTGTATAATCTTCAAAAAGAAGAGATGCTTCTCAAAACATTTTTATTTACAGGATTTTCTGTCTGTTTTTCCTTATATACATACTTACATACCGGTATTGCGTATTTATATAGCACTACTACATCATGATCGTACCGCTGAACACAAAAATATATAAATAAATGACAAGTAAACAGTTCAAGGAAGAATGAGGCATTATTTAACCGTAGAGGTAAGTTTTCACTTTTTTTTTTATCCTATTTTTTTAAATATATTTTTGATAGGATGATTATGGATAGGCTTACGTTTCATTTTCTACTATTTTTTTTTTTACTTTTTTTCTCTCATAACTATCGTTTGATCGCAAGTCCCACACCTTCTCTCATATGGACACAAACGTTGACGGTTTCTACCCCTGTATACCAAAGCCATTGGTAGAGTTAGTAAAATGAATCAACGTAAATAGATGGGCCATTGAGGCTTTCGTTGGAAGTTCGAATTCGATTAGAAGTAATTCATTTCAAACTCAACGGTATGCCAATACAACACTAATAGGCCTATTATGTTAAACATAGATCAGTGTGGCGTGACCTTTTTTTAGAGACCACAGTTCACTATTTATAAAGAAACATGAATGTGTGTATACATCATAAATGTATTATGAATTTAATTCCTGACCTGTATATACGAATATATAACATAATTAAAATTCCATTGAAAAAGCAAATGGCCTCATTAGTCAGACCATGGAAAATGGTCAGACACTTCAAGGACTTTTGGTAAATAACAAGAGAACACTCGGCCCACGCCAAGTGTTCAATAAATGGTCAACAAAAATAGGCATTGGTTTTTTCGTTGTATACTTTATATTTTATATATTTTATATTTTATATAATATATAATTTTTTATATAATATATAATTTTTTATATAACATATAATTTTTTATATAATATATAATATTTTATATAATATATAATTTTTTATATAATATATAAAAATTATATATATTTAATATTTTATATATGATTTTTATATAAAAAGTTATATATTATATAACAAATTATATATTATATAAAATATTTTATATTATATAAAATATATATTATATAAAAAATTATATATTATATAATATATTATATATTATAAAAAATATTATATATTATATATAATAATATATAAATATATAACGTAAGAAATCATGTTATTTTTTGCTAAATAATAAGTGAACAGATGGCGCCTCATATTATGCTAACCTGTCTTTTTGTATTTCATGTTTGTGTTTTATATTCTGTATAAATTAACAATGACTGTAGAAGTGGCTGGCGCAGTGGGAACGGTTTGGTTTCCCAACATCGAGGTCGGGGTTTCAGTCCCCTCGCTGTGCATTTCGCTTGTGTCCTTAGGCAAGGCAATTTATCTATATGGCTTCTTTCCACCGAGGAATATAAATGAGGCCTGGTAGGGTTAAATGCCAAAATGCGCTGATATAGCTGCTGCAACTTTATGGAAAACTAAGCCATGCTTAGAGACCTTGCTGGTATTAAGCTCTATATAAATATAACATATTATTTATAACATGTTGAATATATATATAAATATTTTTCATTTTATCTTTTTTGTACAAAACCCGAAGATTACAAACTGACTGAATTTCCATGGTATGAGCACAATGTAATTATACTTGCAAATTAAGTTTTTATTTGCAAGTTTTTAAAAAGGCATGATTATTCTTTTACCTGAATCAATGGTCTTAACATGGGGACGCTGCATCATTCAAGGAAAATCTATTAATGAGCTTTCGTAATTTGTGTGTCTCATTTTATTTTTACATTCTTATTTTTATTCTTATTCTTTTGTATATATTCTTTAAACAAGACGTTCACAAAACAATACACTGGGAGGTCAAGCAGAACTTTAAAAGTGAACCTAGTACATTAAGTAGGAAGTCCTCGACCACCGAA